TTTATAGATCGTGGAGGTATCCAAGTGTGATGACGTGAACACAAATTCGTCGTCATATTTTTTATAGATCATGAGTATCTAAATATGATGATGAACTTATGAACCAATCGTCACTCGAATGACGATGCAAGCATGAATCATTCGTCACTCGAATGATGGAGCGAATACTAATATATCTCTGACAATGGTGACACATTTATGTCGTCACAACACTGACGATGGTGATGCATTTCTGTCGTTATACCTGAGTGGGAATAACCTAAACTAAGTTGAAATAACATAATTATGTTATTTCCACTTTGTATTATCTCATATATATTATTATTATGTTCCTTATATATAATATTATTATTATGTTTCAAAACACCATACTCTCCAGATTTTACAAGATCTCTTTGTCGCTTAATATAAGTTTTAAATGCAAACCGTGAGCATACAGAATGCAACTCTTCTAGACCTGTATCTTTATCATCTTATATATGCTTATTCTGATGTAAAATGCTTCATATGCAAACTTCTCTATGTTTTCTTGATGTTTTTGCTAAATTATCGCTAGCAATCTATAAATAATGATAAAAGTTAGAATTGGTTAAATTAATCAATTAATTAGTCAAATATTAAATAAGAAATAGGAAGAAAAAACCTATAAATTATTTCACTCATTATCATCACAGTAAATTTTACATCTCAGAGGTAGAATTCATTGCTGATAATAATGAGTGAAATAATTTATGAGTTTTTTTTTCTTGTCACTCAAATCACTTGTAATAAATTATAATGTGATTAAAAAATTAACTAATCGACTATAGTCAATTAGTTATTTATTTAATTTGATTAATTAACAAGTTTAGAGACTAATCTCTAACCCAGTTACTATATTTACTTATCTATCAATTAAAGTAATATGATTTTTAATGCCCTTTAGTTTTTTATACAGATATTCAACGTATTGGGTTAACTTTATATCAAGGTTTACATTTCATTTGTATATAGTGTGAGCCAACTTTCTTTATATAGCATTCACGTATTGTACATATACTTTTTCGCGCTTGGAAATTGCATTCACAATTCTACAATTTCTTGTTCTGTCTGGCTTTCTGAAAGATCATTATAAATAAGTCTTCGAACAGTTTGAATAAATTTATCAATATTTATGCCCTTAAGCTTATTTCTAATATTTTTAAAAATATATCAAGTGCATAATTGATATTTTGAATTAGGAAATATAGTAGATACTGCAGTTATAAGTGCCAAATCTCTATCGGTTATAAATGTTGCTACATCTAAATCGTCTGTTAAAATAGTCAACACTCTGAACAGCTGTTGCAATAACCAACAATAAAAATTCTTCGTTTTAAAATAAACAAGTGCGAAAGCTAATGGATATATTAGTCAGAACCAATCAATATTACAAATAACAATTAGTGGCATTGAAAACCTGGTTAAATTAAATAAATAAATAAATAACAGATAAAAAAAGTCTATTAGTCACTCATTAAGTAAATCTATATCAAGATATTATTATCACTTTTTTCCGTGAGTCCTATTATGCATATATCCTATATATAAAATTATTTGTAATTGTTAGCTGCTTATTATATTATTATGCAGAATGTATACATATACAGGACTCATAGACAAAAAATCTGCAAAATTCATTGATCAACAAGTAATAAATTACTCTTTATTTATCTATTATTACAATTATTATATATTAAAATAATTAAATAATAGTAAATTTTTTCTTGAAAAAAGCAAAAAAAAACCTGTTCATTTTATATATCACATCAATAAATAATACATCTTTTGCGATAGCAAACTTAGAAGCTACACTTCAATATATCCAGAAGATTGCTTGTATGAATGAGCTATCCTAATCATGCTTATTATTATACGCAGGTTTAGTTGCTATACTTGATATTATACTTTCATTGTTTTGCAAAGTTCTGAGCAACATCTCAATTTCGTTAAGCCCTTGCACTTCTGTTAACTCTGACGACTAATAGCATTGTAAACATTATGTTTGTACACATACTTTGCACTTACAGAGTCTAAAATGGTATATATATCCTTTATTTGAAGCTCATTGTCATGAAGATTCTCAATTATGCCCAGTTCATTCTTATCAAGTTTGCATATATTGATACTAAACCTTCTTGCATCAGGATCAATAATATAATTATATTTAAAACATAATTTTGTTATGGTATATTTTTTTCTAAGCTTGCGATAATTTATCGTGATCACAAATAAACAACCTGTTCGTTTAGTAGTATATGTATCCTTTTACCATTATATGCCTCTTGTTTTTTGCAAGCAAAAAATACCTGTCTATAATCACTGTTGTCAGGATTTTTAGTCGTTTTTGCCAAGATTACAACTATATTAGTTTGTGTAGTATAGGCTTCTACAAATACACATGCTTCATCAAAATTATGAAAACTATCATCTTTTTTTGGAATAAAAATAGTATTATGTGTAGTATCTATAAAAAAATTAGAAAAATGAAAAATATAAGTAATTGAAAAAAATAATAAAATAAATAAAATAAAAAATAATGATGAATAGAACGAAAATTGTTAAAGACTGAAAAGATAACAAAATTAACAAAATTGATGAATAAAATTAACGAATTTAATGAAATTAAGAAAATTAATGAAATTAGCAATAGATATATGAATATAATAAGATTGGTGAAGAATATAAGATTAACAAAAAGTGTAAGTATGATCAACAAATAATAAAGATAGTAAGGACGGTAAAAACTGCAAAAAATATAAAAACATAAAATCAACGAATTTTATTATATTATTTTTATGCATATGATTTTATTGGCTGATAAATTCATGTGATTTCAGTTAATAAATATTTGATATGAATGAAATTGATGTATGTAAATTTTTGTCGAAATTGTGATTAACCAATAAATGTGGCAATTTTATTGGTTAAAAAAATTGATGTATGTAAAGTTATATAAAATTGATGTATACAAATTATTTTTCTTTTTATTATTATAACTTAAATAATTTACTTATTAAAATTTAGACTTGTATTAAGAGCAAAAATTTTTTTTAGCTTCGGGAACATATAAAATCTTAAAGAAGCTTAAAAAATTTTTAATAGAAAAAATTTTTAAACAAAAACTTTAAAGTTTTATTGCTCAAAAATTTATTAATAATTT